AAACCAACACACACACACACACACACACACACACACACACACGCACGCACGCACGCACGCACAAACAAACAAACAAACAAACAATTAAACTGACTATATTACCCAACCCCCCACCCCACACACGCTTTTTTTTTTTTTTTTTTTTTTGAGACAGGGACAAGGTTTCAGGGTTTCTCTGTATTGTTTTTGAGACTGTCCTGGAACTCACTCTGTAGGACCAGACTGACCTCGAACTCATAGAGATCTGCCTGACTCTGCCTCCCAAATTCTGGGATTAAAGGCATGAGCCACCAACACCCAGCTTAGACCCCTTTCCTCAAGGAATCCTGTGTGCAAACTGTGCAATCCTTTGGAGTGTATTTACCCTCTGGCCTCTATGGGCTACCCTAAGGGACCTTGGAGACAATTTTCTGATGGCCTTTGAAGTCTCTGATCTGAATGTTGCCCCCAGTCTAGGCTCCAGACAGGTATTCGTGGTGCCTTAGGAAAGTCTCGGGTCACCATGGCCAGGGTTCTCATTGTCTAGGCCATCACATCCACCTGACTCACGATTCAGAATAAGGAACATCTGATGGGAGGCCCTATGTAAAACCAAGTTCAAGCTCTCTGGCTGCCAGAGGGCAGGTGATGTTATTGGGTCCCTCCTTCCCACCTTCTTGCCCTGTTCCTCCTCACTGAGTTCTTTTTCATTTCTCTCTCCCTCTCCCTCCTCTCTCTCTGTCTCTGTCTCTGTCTCTCTGTCTCTCCCTCCCTCTCTGCCTCTGTCTGTCTGTCTGTCTGTCTCTCTCCCTCTCTCTCTCTTTTTCTCTCTCTGTCTCTCTCCCTGTCTCTCTTTGTCTCTGTCTCTCTGTCTCTCCCTCCCTCTCTGCCTCTCTCTCTCCCTCTCTCCCTCTCTCCCTCTCTCCCTCCCTCTCTCTCTCTCTCTCTCTCTCTCTCTCTCTCTCTCTCTCTCTCTCTCATCTTTCTCTATATGTACATCTCAAAGAGATGGGGGTCACTAAGTTGAATACAGGTAGATCTGAACACATGGTTGTTGAAAAGAGGCTCTTCCCTGATGGCTGTGGGGTCAAAGGTATCACCAATCTTGGCCCCCGGGACACTGGCGGGCATTGTGCTGCTGAGGTGTTCTACTGTGGTGCTCTCATCTACCCTAGTAAATCATGTTCAGCAATAAATCTCACATCCTGTCTGGAAAAACAGATGAAGAAGCTAGAAGCTACCATTCAAGCTAGACCTAGTGGCACTTACCTGTAATCTAAGAATTCAAAAGGTAGGCAGAAGGCCCAGCACTGGGGAGGCAGAGGCAGGCAGATCTCTGTGAGTTTGAGACCAGCCTGGTCTACAGAGTGAGTTCCAGGAGAGGATCCAAAGCTACAGAGAAACCCTGTCTCGAAAAATCAAATAAAACAAAACAAAATAACAACGAGAGAGAGAGAGAGAGAGAGAGAGAGAGAGAGAGAGAGAGAGAGAGAGAGAGAGAGAGAGAGAGAGAGAATCCAAAGATAGTGTTTTATATTCTCTGGTGTGGGTTACTTTCTTCTGTGTGTCTTTTTTTCTCTTAACCCTAGTGCTTAAAATCCATATCCATATTAAAATCTTTTCATAAACCCCAATTCTGCCAAGTATAGTATAGCACACACCATTTTTCTTTTTTCTTTTGTTTTTTTGAGACAGGGTTTCTCTGTGGCCTTGGAACTTGCTCTGTAGACCAGGCTGGTCTTGAACTCACAGAGATCCACCTGCCTCTGCCTCTCCAGTGCTGGGATTAAAGGTATGCACTACCACTGCCAAGCTAAATAGCACACACCTTTACTTGCAGCACTTGGGAGGCCAAGACAGGAGGATTTCTGTGAGTTAGAGGCCAGTCTGGTCTACAGATAGTGTCCCAGACCAACCAAAGCTATGCAGTGAGACCACCACCTAGCTAAAATATTTTTAAAATGCAAAGTGCACTGGTGACATATATGAAGACACCACATTTGTACAGTGGATGTTGGAGAGGCAGGAAGTTCATATCTCTTTTGACCAGCAAGTCCCTTGACAGCATCTTGAGAAACAGGCACCAGACCAGTAGAGGCTACCTCTCTCTCTACCCATAAGAGTTGCATACAGATGGTCTGTGGAAGACTCATCTAGAGCAGGGTTACACATCTGCAAATGGAACAAGCCATATGTAGGATTGCAGTCGCATAGCGCCTTTTGTGTAAGATGTTTGCTCCTGGAGTCAACATAGGTTGTTGATATTACCAGCTGCAGCTGCCCCTTTCTGCTCAGGGGGCATGAAAGAAACTTGTGCATGCTATTCACATGTGCAGTTACAGACAATGAGACTGCTTGTCCATAGATGTGTTTTCTTCTGTGATGAAAGAGGTAGGAAACATTCCCAAAAATGGAACTGAATATATTAGTGTTTTCTTCTTTTTCTTTTTTCCTCATCCTTTTTCTTCTCTCCCTCCTCTCTCTCTCCTTTTCTTTTTTTTTTTTTTTTTTTTTTTTTTTGTTAGCCTTTCACTATATAGCGCTGGCTGGCTAGGAACTTCCTTTTTTTCTAAGACAGGGTTTAACAGCTCTGGCTGGGCTAGCTGGGAACTCTTTCTCTGTTCTCCTCCCCTTCCCTCTCCCTCCCCCTTCTCCTCCCCTTCCTCCTCCCCCTCCTCCTCTTTCTTCTTCCCAAGACAGAGTTTCTCTGTTTAACAGCTCTGGCTGTCCTAGAACTCACTCTGTAGACCGCGCTGACCTTGAACTCACAGAGATCCACCTGCTGTTGCTATCCCACTCCCGGGATTAAAGGCATGAGCTACCATCGCCCAGCTGGAAACTTTCTATATGAACCACCATCAACATTCAGGTCAGTCCAAGCCAAGCTGTCATCCCATATCCTTGAAGGCCTTATTAGTCATGTTTCCCTGCTTGTGGACTCCTCCATCTTTCTTATGTCTACACACCCTTTCTCTGATGATCAGGCTGTAGAGAAAGGACATTTCAGGGTAGAGTTCCTGAATTCTCCTATCTTTGCCACATGTACCTATTCAGTACCACCAGGCTTTCAAGATCCTATGTCTATACCACCAAACACATTTGCAATGTATTTGTTTCTTTCCATGGTTATAGCATCCTTGATCCAGACCTCCCCACATTCTCCATCCTAGGGCTCTAGGTTTGCATTGACCAATTGCAAAGCTGTTGAGAAAGCATGGGAAGGCAAGCTCAAGTTCTGGAGCTTAGAATATGTGACCATGATTTACTGACCTTAGCACCCTTGCAGTCACCTCCACCAATCTCATGCTTTAGTCAGGAAACAAAGACTACTTGTTTCCTCAACAGAACAGGGGCATGTCAGCCATTTCCTTTGTTGCTTTATGCCTACCAAGATTTACGGTTCAAGACCACATGACCAGATGGATATAGGTGGGAACCCTGCAGGTAACTCTTGTTCTTGCCACTTAGTAGCCATGAAACTTCCCTTGCCTTTGTTTCCCCATCTGTTGCCTGGAGGAAATGACCAAAGCTCTTTCTGGAATCATTGGAAGGACAAAATGATATTAACATTTTCTTTTTCTCTAGATGGTCAATGGTCACTTTGAGTGAGGCTAGGAAATGCCCACCTTGGGCAGTAGCCTGTTCTAAGCAGCTCCAGTCAGGTACTTATGGCCAGTCCTCTACTACACCTGCTGAAGTCAGCAAAGGGGAACAAAAGCCTGCCTTCTGCTGTTAGACAAAGGGGCAGGCCAGGATGGGTTGGGCTCCCAACCTGGGCTTGCTGGGATGTGTTGGGCTGGGCACAATTACGTTGTGGGACAGGTGACTGGAGATCCACTGGGACCGCTCCTCGCTAACCAGCTGCTCCTCAGACCATTGGTTGGCCCACCAGGTAGGTAAGAGCTGAGCTGGTTTGGATACCATGTGCAGGGACCACTGGGCCTAGAGACACTGTTTCTGGGCTGCTAAGGTCAGGGAGAAGCTCGGGGCTAGAGTTAAGCAAAGGCTTCAGACACTAATCTGGCTCCACAGTGACACCTGTGTGATACCTGCAGGCATGGTGTCCCCTAGGGGGGATTGGCTAGAAGAGTGAGAACCGGGACTTCTGACCCAAAATGAGAGAGCTGGCACAAGCCTGGAATGGGGTGCAATGTAAGGAGGCTGCCTGCTTGACTCCCCACCCCCACAGCCAACCAACCAGCTCAGCCAGATGGCAACAGCTACCTGCCACTCCACCCTGGAGCTTGCTGCTACTGTGAACTATAGAAGTAGGAAAAACCCTGAGCAGACAAAACATGTCCCTGTACTGTGGGCCTTAAGGTTACGTGACCCCAAAGTTGCCTTAAGAGAGCAGCAGGGGAGCCAGCTGCTACTGCCACTCCCTTCTCTCCTATGGTGGAAGGATCCAGGCCCACCCTGAGGGTCCTTCCTATCCCATGTCTGAAGCTGAAGCCCAGGGCTCAATTCTGGCAAAGTCCCCTGTGGTCTTTCTGCTGGCTTTCCCCACTACCACACTGTAACTGGCACAACTTTGCCAGTCTTGGGGGTAGGGCTGGGTGGGGACAATCTTCTTTCAGGCCAGGAAGTGGGGGAGAAGGTCTTCTTCATGGGCTGTCTTTGTCAGCGCCTTCTCTGCCTTAGCCTGAACAAAGGCAGGCATTGACAGCTGGGATTGGCACTTTAGCCAGGACTAAGGCTACTGAGGCCAAGGCTGGCATTTCAGAGGCTCAGCGCCTTTGGCCCTGTGATGGGGGCTTAAGGGTTATCCTGTGCTCTTTACAGGGACCCAGGGAAACTCAGGGAGGGAGCACTGTGCATTTGGACTAGAGTTGTGGGCCACATGGGGAGAATTGGCTCAATAAAACCCTGTCCCTTTGTTTCTACATCCCAGTGGGTGTCTCCTTGGGGAGTGGCAGGGAACCCCCTAGCTAGAACAGCCCTGATGGGCGTAAGAGCACCAGATAGCGGGTCCCTGGCCTGGGCCTCTGGACAGAGGGGACATTGTTGGGGTGGAGGCAGGGCTGCCTTGGCCAGGCCACTATTGACAAAGCTGCCAGCTGTGGTGGAGCCTGGTCGCCAGGCCCTTGCCCCCTCCTCTGTCTCCTTTCTCCCCCAGGGCCAGCATGAATGGGCTGAGCCTCCACTGTCTCCCTCCCACTCAGAACAATACCCCCCCACAGCCATTTTGTGCCCGTCGCCACTGCCCTGAGGCAGCTGATGCGAGGAGATCCCATTTCTGCCCTCCGTAGTGGTGGTAAGTGTCTGGGCCCTATGTCCCCAAAGATGTCACTGAGAGATGCAGAGAGGGATAAATTTGCCCAGGCTAGGCAAAAGGCAACCTTTCAGGGAGCTTCTATATTCTCTGCCTTTTTGAGCAACAACCTCATCTCCCCCATTACACACATGCAACTCGTCACAGAGACACATGGCAGTAGAGGAAATTGTCTTTCCTGTCTGTGTTCTCAAGATAAGGGAATCTGGGGTCTTTATGAGTGGCAGGCAGTAGGTGGCTTCTGGCTGGCACACACCCGCATGACTAGCTGTACAGATCCCAGTTCAGCTCAGGATCTGTCACCAGCTCCTTTCCTCTTTCTCTTTCTAGAGCTCTATTCCCTGTCCCCTGCTTCAATCAAGCTCCCTCTGACCTTTCTCTCATGTCTCTCTTCATCAGGACCCTTCTGGAGCTAGGGCTCCACAGGCTCTACTTGCTGGGCTCCATCATTCTGGCACCCTGAGCTGTCTCCTGGTGCCCCGGAGTTCCCCAGCACCTTACAGGCTAGCTTGAAGCTCTCCTGCCACCCCTATGCTGGCTACCCAGTGGTGGACTAAGGCCCTGGCCACCTGTTCATTACTGTTTTGGGGGTCAGTGTGCCTGTGTATGGTTGCATCTTGGCCAGAAGCCAAAGCTTTCTTTGGCTGTCTCATTGAGGTAGTGAAGGTTCCTCTATGCAGCTGGCTTTGACACATTGTGGCCTGGCTCCTCTTTTACCCTCTGTTGTCTTTCTTTGTCTGGGTGACCATACTCAGTTGCCCTGTAGATATAGCTTTCTACTCTCATGTCTGTCCCCTCTCCTGCCCCTCTGTCACTCAGAGTCCCTCTGTTATGCCCATGTGGCTTCTCAGGATCTGTCCTCTTTATAGTTCACATGTATATAAGGCAGAAGACAAAAGAATTCTTTCGTTGTGTGTACCGTCATCCCCATCCTGTCTCTTTCTCGAGATCTAGGACACTTTCTTTGTCTTCTCTGTTCTCTCCCTAACTGCTTCCCTCTGAGTCCCCTCTATATCGTACCCCTCAACTTTTTGGCCTTCCTCTCGTCCTGTCTCTTTGCTAGTTTCGTTCTCAATCTCTCCCTCACCCGTTTCTGCCTATTGGGGAATGGAGTACCTTCCGCATTCTCCCACCAGGTCTCATACTGACTCACTTCCTTTAGGTTCCTGTGATGGCTCCCTGGCCTCTCTTCAGCCTCCACCTTCTGCTGCTGTTCTTGATGCTGCCCTTGACCAGAACTCATCGCTTCTCTGTACCCAACACCAGCTTCAACCACCTGGTACTGGCACCAGACCAGGGTACACTCTACGTGGGTGCAGTTAATCACCTCTTCCAGCTCAGCCCTGAGTTGAAGATGGAAGCTGTGGCGGTTACTGGGCCTGTCATCGACAGTCCTGACTGTGTGCCTTTCCATGACTTGGCTGAGTGCCCACAAGCCCAACTCACTGATAATGCCAACCAGCTCTTGCTGGTGAGCAGTAGGGCTCAGGAGCTGGTGGCTTGTGGGCAAGTGAGGCAGGGTGTGTGTGAGAAGCGGAGCCTTGGGGATGTGGCTCAGGTGCTGTACCAGGCCGAGGACCCTGGCGATGGACAGTTTGTGGCTGCTAATACCCCAGGAGTAACCACAGTGGGCCTAGTGGTACCCTTGCCAGGCCGAGACCTCCTGTTAGTGGCCAGAGGCCTGGCAGGCAAGCTGTCAGCAGGGGTACCGCCCCTAACTGTGCGCCAGCTGACTGGACCACAGCCTTTCTCCAGTGAAGGTTTGGGACGACTTGTGGTGGGAGACTTCTCAGACTATAACAATAGTTATGTGGGGGCTTTTGCTGATGCTCACTCTGCCTACTTTGTCTTCCGTCGCCGTGGAGCCCAGGCCCAGGCTGAGTATCGCTCCTACGTAGCTCGTGTCTGCCTTGGAGATGTCAACCTTTACTCCTATGTGGAAGTGCCCCTTGCCTGCCATGGCCAGGGCCTTATTCAAGCTGCCTTCCTTGCTCCGGATACATTGTTAGGCGCATTTGCAGCAGGCACAAGTCAGGCCCAGGCAGCCCTATGTGCCTTTCCCTTAGAAGACCTGGACAAGAGTATGGAACAAGCCAGACGACTTTGCTATACTACTGGTGGTCAGGGTTCCAGTGGCATGGAAGAAGCCACTGTGGAGTATGGTGTCACATCCCGTTGCGTCACCCTGCCTCCTGTGAGTGATGAGAGCCTGGCTCCCAAATTTTGACCAAGGGTTCTGTCTTCACTTTCTGTGCCTTGCCCTGCCCTGCCAGCCTTCTCTCTGTAATATGGAACAGGGTATTCTCGAGGAATAGCTACTAGTTAACCCCTTGGCTAGGTATATCAATAGGTAGCAGATGGCTCTGTCTCCGAGCTTTGACCTGCTCTCAGTCTGTTTCCTGCTATCTCTCTTCCTCTCTGGGACAAGTTGTGATGTTGTAAGGCTTGGGAAACAGCCTTCCAGACCCTCCTGGCCAGCATGCTCTGATTCCTGATTCCTCCCAACTCCTTTCTCACTGGCTGTGGGGTATCCTCTGCTCTCAGGGGAGGCCCTGCTCACCCCTCCTAGGTATTGATTCTCTACACCTTGTCTATCTAGGACTCTCCTGAGTCATATCCCTGTGGTGATGAACACACCCCCAGCCCCATCGCAGGCCGCCAACCTCTGGAGGCCCAGCCTCTGCTGCAGCTGGGACAGTCCATCAGTGCAGTGGCTGCTCTCCAGGCAGATGGGCACACGATAGCCTTCCTGGGAGACACCCTGGGCCAGCTACACAAGGTGAGACCCTGACCAATGAGGGTGTTCTTGAATGCCCTCCACACTTTCAGGCTGGGCCTGGTTTTGCTGCTTGTCCAGGTGGCCCTGCCACCTGTGGCTCAGGAAAACCTCAGGACACTCCACCTCTCAGCTGTGACCCACTGGTGAGTCAGAAGGCTTCATTGCACCTGGACATCTGGTAGGATTCACCTTCTGCTCTAGTCCCCAAATGAGATATTACCCAGGAACCTCTGGAGGCATCTGTGCCATCTCTAACTATTGGGGGTGGTGGTGAAGGTCGGTGGGGATGTTATGTAGACAGGCCCAGAGGATCTGATGTCAGAAGTAGCCTGGACTCAGGATTCTCTCTAAAAACAAACCCTGACTTGCAGTGAACTTTTGGTTTCTATGGCTGCCTTTCTTCTCATGTGGCAGAAAGGCCTGATATTCAAGAGCCTCATCCAGAGTGCTTCTGCTGTGTCAGCCTTGTTCCTTCCTGGGGAGTGGTTTAATCTTGAGGGTCCTGCATGAGAGAAAGTGGTTTGTCTCTATTTTGGTGATCTAATAGGAAAGGCATCTGACTCTGGGGAAGAAGGCTGCTTCCTGAGAGTCTTTATGTTCCTGTAAAGGAGCCAAGAAATAATGTCCTTCAATGGCCAATATTAAGGCATCAAGAGAGCTGGCCTTGGCTTGACAGAATGGCCCAGGCCTATCTTTGTGTTCCTCCTGTCCAGGTCTTCCTAAACAGCTCCCAAGGCCAGATATACCATTCCCAGCAAGTGGGGCCGCCAGGCTCAGCCATCATCCCAGACCTGCTGATAGACAGTAGTGGGGACCATGTCTATGTTCTCACTGCCCAGCAGGTAAGGCCTATCTCTGGGACTGGGCGGAATGTGTCTAAGTGACATGAGTCTTTGTAACCCGCCTTTATCTCTACATCACTGCTCATCCAGGTAGACCGGATTCTCGTGGCAGCCTGTCCTCAGTTCCCCAACTGCACCACCTGCCTCCAGGCAAGGGACCCACTGTGTGGCTGGTGCATCCTTCAGGGCAGGTGAGCGTGGGCCCAGGCTTGAACCAACAGACACTGGGGGCCAGGAAGCTGTCCACAGAAGCAACTGTAGCTGTGCCAAGAGGCCAACTTGGCTCAGTGTTGCTGACCTCCTTAATCCCATCTCAGCTCATTGGGTCACCTCTCATTCCAGTAATCCCTACTTCAAGTCAGGCCTCTGACACCTCTCACAGGACCCATGACTTGCTGCTTGTGTTCCTTGATTCATTCTAGTTTTCTTCCATCCGGGGCTGTCAGCCCAGGACTCATTTATGTATGAAATGAGGGCTAGGAATGTAGATCAGTTATTGGACTGCTTGCCTAGCATGCACAAAACTCTGGGTTCAATTCATAGTACATATAAGCTAGGCATGGTGGTACATACCTATAATCCCAGCACTTGGGAGGTAGAGGCAGGAAGATTAGAATTTCAAGATCATCTTCAGCTATACAGTATAGTTTGAGAACAGCCTGGGAGACATGGGCTCTTGTTTGATAAGAGGTAAAGAGGGAGAAAGTAAGGAAGAGTTCCTCTTAGTCATAGTTAAGGTTAAAACCTGCACGCTGGCCATGAAGCCCTATGTTCCCTTCACTCCTCTTCCTTACTGAGCTTCAGCCAGGCAATCCTCCTAACCCCATGCCAGGAAGCCTGAGACTCACATGGTGAATCAATGGGCTCCTGCCTGGCAGGTGTACTCGGAGGGGCGAGTGTGAACGGGCAGCCCAGCCAAACCAGTGGCTGTGGAGCTATGAAGACAACTACTGCCTTCACATCCAGAGCCTGCTACCAGCCCAGCATCCCCGCCAGGAACAGGGCCAGGTGAGGCACTGACACTGCTGGTCTTTCAGGCAGTGTGGCCATTGTCTGTATGAACACAGTCTTAGCCAGCTTCCTGTCCATTTCTTCCCTAGCTGCCTCTGCCCACAGCCCCTGCATGACCCTTACAACACTCTGCTATAAATCCATCTCCCTGTTTCCGTTTCATGTGTCATAGATCACGCTGTCTGTTCCCTGGCTGCCCACCCTGGCCATGGATGAATACTTTCATTGTGCTTTTGGGGACTATGACACTTTGGCTCAGGTGGAAGGACCCCATGTGGTCTGTGTCACCCCTCCTGGAGATCAGGTACCACCTAACCCTCCAGGCTCAGGTGAGTGGACCTTTGAGTAGGGATCCTGAGGTGGAACTGGAGTGGGCCAGGAGCTACAAGAGCTTCTCTGCCACCACTGCTCCCTTCCAGATCATGTCACCTTGCCCCTGGCCCTGATGTTTGAGGATGTGGTCATGGCTGCCACTACATTCTCCTTCTATGACTGCAGTGCTGTCCAGGCCTTGGAAGTGGCTGCCCCGTGAGTTCCTGGACCTGGCTCCTGATGCGTAAGGGCGGGAATCTCACATGGTACCCAGCCTGAGAACACCTCTGCCCCTCCAGGTGTCGCACTTGTGTGGGCAGCCTGTGGCGGTGCCACTGGTGTCCTCAGAGTAGCCATTGCGTGTATGGAGAGCACTGCCCAGAGGGTGAGAAGACTGTCTACAGTGCCCAGGAGGTGGGTATGACCAATATACAAACTCCTTGCACCTGATCAACCCAGAAGGTCACCCCAGCAGAATAGGACCAGACGCACCCAGGAGCAGTCACATGCAAATTTAAAGGATAAATTTACTGCCCCCAGCCTGCTCTCCAATGAGATCATGTAGCTTCCTTATCGAACAAAGCAGCAGTCTTATCCTTTCCCTAGGTGGACATCCAGGTTCGTGGCCCAGGGGCTTGTCCCCAGGTTGAGGGCCTAGCAAGTCCCCAATTGGTGCCTGTGGGTTGGGAAAGTCGTTTGACCCTGCACATTCAGAACCTTCACTATTTCCAAGTAAGTAGTCAGGTGGATGGGGGAATGCATGAGGGGAGAGGAGACAGTGTCCATAAGACTGACATTATGGCATCTGCACCTTCCAGGGTCTGCCTGCTTTATACTACTGCTGGCTAGAGCTGCCTGGAAAACTGCAGAAGCTACCTGCTTCCCTAGAGGAAACATCCAGGGACTCTGGTCTCATTCACTGTCAGGCCCAGCAGGTGAAAGGCTGCCTGGTGTCTTAAGTAGCACCAGTCCACTCAAATACACACACACACACACACACACACACACACACACCCTATGCAGAGCTCACTGGGCATATATCAGGAGCAAGGTGCCTGTAACCTCTGTCCCTCTGCTTAGAGATACAGAGGACAATCACACCCATTCTAAGGAGGTGTTCTTGAGGAAGTACGAGGAAGAATTGTCCCAAGTGGGGGTCACGCCTGACCCTACCCTCTGCCCACAGTTCCGCCCCTCTATGTCCCAGCGGGAGCTCCCAGTGCCCATCTATGTAACCAGAGGTGACATCCAGCGGCTGGACAATGCCCATGATCTTCACGGTGAGCCCTTAGATGACAAGGCAGGTGGGGGGCAGGATATGTGACTCATGGGCAGTGGCTCAACATGTTGCCCCACCTTCCTCAGTGACTCTATATGACTGTGCCATGGGTCATCCTGACTGCAGCCATTGCCAGGCAGCCAATGGAAACCTGAGCTGTCTGTGGTGTGGCGATGGACAGCCTTCTTGCCGCTATGGGCCATTGTGCCCATCAGATGCTGTGGAACAGCTATGCCCTACACCCACCATTGATATGGTGAGGACTCTTCCCCTGTAGCACCCGGCTTCCCCACTCCCCAAGGTTCCTGCCTCCACTACCAATACTTCCCCCAGATGCTTGTCTTAGACTCTCAGTCTGGAGAAGTTTGGTCCAGGCATTTTCTAGTGGTTGGCTGACTGGGCACCACTACTGCAGAGTGGGCTGGGGTTTTGGGGGACACTATCTGCCCTCCTTCTCTGCTGCAGATTGAACCCCTGACTGGTCCCCCAGAAGGTGGCTTGGCTGTCACCATCCTGGGTTCCAACCTGGGCCAGGCCTTTAATGATGTGCAAAATGCTGTGACTGTGGCGGGTCGGCCCTGCAACCCTGACCCTTCTCTCTACCGCATCTCTGCTCGGTGAGGCACCTCAGCAGGCTGGGGAGGGTAGGGATACTATCCAAAGTAGACCTTCAGAGGGGAGGCTTGCAGCCAAGAATTGTGAGGTCTTGAGTCAGGGAAACAAAAGGGAAACAAGTAACCGAGGAGGAGCAGGCTCCAGGCTCCCCCAGGGCTTGAGCAGCTACTGAACCTTGATTCACCAGGATTGTGTGTTTGACATCTCCTGCTCCCAATGGCACTGCTGGGCCTGTCCAAGTGGCCATTAAGAGTCGTCCTCCCAGCATTTCAATTCAGCACTTCATCTACCAGGTCAGTAACCCCCCTAAGGTGGTCCTAATGCAGGGTATGGTGGGAAGAAGGACAATGTAAAGATGTCAAACGATCCAAGAGCAGCAGGAAAGACTGCTGCTTTGTTCGATAAGGAAGCTACATGATCTCATTGGAGAGCAGGCTGGGGGCAGTATTGTGATAACAAGGACACTGTCGCTGGCAGCCGTCCAGGAGGCAGGCAAGCAGGGCAGAAGCAAGAACAGCAGACAGCTAGGGTTAAGCGCATACAAAACTTGTAGCTCTGGCAGAAAAGGTGGAAGAAAGGCATGACACTTCAAGAAGTAGAGTGTAGTTGACTGAAGCCCCTGACTCAAGAAACCAGTAAGTAAGTGGTCCTTCCCCTCAAAGCTGGAGGGGCCCTATGTCTACTCCAGCCTACTCTGTTCCCTAGGACCCTGTCTTACTGAGCCTGAGTCCTCAGTGGGGCCCCCAGTCAGGGGGCACCCAGCTCACCATCCATGGGCAACACCTCCAGACGGGAGGCAACGTCACTGCCTTTGTGGGTGACCAACCTTGCCTCATGTAAGTATCCAGCTCAGCTCACCTACTCCAGGCCTGTCCACTGTCAATGGGGCAGTGGATTCAAGGCTTCCTTGAAATTCTAAAAGAAGTGGTACTATGCCTGTTCCTAATAACTTCTGCCTCTGCTGAGGGAAGGACTGAGCTAGGTCTAGGGCTGAACCCAAAATGAGAATATCCTTTCCCCTGCAGCCAGGAGCCTGTGTGTCCTGAAGCCATCATATGCCACACCATGCCCCAAGCAGAGCCAGGAGAAGCTGTGGTCTTTTTACTCTTTGGCCATGTTGAGCGCAAACTGCTCACCACCCCATTTCGATATACTGCCAATCCCCAGCTGGTGGCAGCAGAGCCTAGTGTCAGCTTCCGGGGGTGAGTACTTGGCCAGCCCCTAGTGAACCACTGGAAAGATAGGGTTGAGCTACCCAAGATCATCTCAATTCTCTGACTTCCATCCTGGCACAGGGGTGGACGACTGATTCGAGTCAGGGGTATAGGCCTAGATGTCGTGTGGCAGCCCTTGCTGTCTGTGTGGCTGGAGGATGAGGATCAGGTAAAGGCTTTGGGAGTCCAAGGCCAGGTTGTGAACCCAAGGAGGAGCTGCAGTGCCCCTGCTGCAGATCCCCAGGCTTGTATCCAGCTTGAGAGTGGCTTGCTACAGGTGAGTCCCCTACCACCACTAGCAGAGAATAGGGTCATTCCCAGAGAATGCTTAGTGAGGGGTCAGGGAGGGTCACCAAGACCACTCACTGATCTGCATCCCTGCCCCCTCCAGTGCTCCACCTTGTGCTCTGTCAACTCATCTAGCCTTCTCCTGTGCCACAGTCCAGCGGTGCCGGATGGGGCCCTCCCAAAGCGGGTTTTCTTTGCCCTAGACAACATGCAAGTAGACTTTGCCAGCGCTAGTGGGGGCCAGGGATTTCTGTATCAGCCTAATCCTCGCCTGGTTCCACTGAGTCATGAAGGACTTGCTCACCCCTACCGCCTCAAGCCAGGGCACGTCCTGGATGTGGAGGTAGGTGTGCCACCAATGTGTCACTGCTCGGGCACTCAACCATCCTGAGGAGGATGACGGTGGGGATGAGGGTTCCACAAGCTCAGGCTTCTACTATGTGTCCCAGGGCGAGGGCCTCAACCTGGGGATCAGTAAGGAGGAGGTGCGGGTGCACATTGGGGATGGAGAGTGCCTGGTGAAGACGCTGACGCTTACTCACTTGTATTGCGAGCCACCCCTACAAGCCCCTCAGCCAGCCAATGGTTCAGGCACCCTGCTGCAGTTCGTGGTGAGTGTGCGTCCCTGGGGGACGGGCTGCGTGCTGCAGTCCCATGCTCAGGAGCCATGCTCCCCTAGGTGCAGATGGGCAATGTGCGCCTGGCTCTGGGACCTGTTCAGTACGAAGCAGAGGCCATGATGTCCACCTTTCCAGTGGAGGCCCAAGTGGGCCTGGGCCTGGGTGCTACTGTGCTGATTGCTGCGGTGCTCCTCCTTACCCTCATGTACAGGTGAGGATGCTCCCTCTTCAGCACACATGGGCAAATTTCCCACGGCAGGGCCATCCTAGTCTGGGCCTGTGGTTGATGCCTGGCCTCTGGCTCCAGGCACAAGAGCAAGCAGGCACTGAGAGACTATCAGAAGGTGCTGGTGCAACTGGAGAACCTGGAGACTGGTGTGGGTGACCAGTGTCGTAAGGAGTTCACAGGTGTGTGGGGGTACAGGAGGGAGGACAGGGCATTCACCAGGCCTGAACCCACATCTTGGTGGGTTCTGGCCTGCAGACCTGATGACTGAGATGACAGACCTCTCCAGTGACCTAGAGGCCAGTGGTATACCCTTCCTGGATTACCGAACATACGCTGAGCGTGCCTTCTTCCCTGGCCATGGTGGCTGCCCACTGAAGCCAGGGCTTGAAGGGCCTGGGGAAGAGGGTCACCGTGCCACTGTGTGCCAGGGCCTCACACAACTCTCCAATTTGCTCAACAGCAAGCTCTTCCTTCTCACAGTGAGAGCCACATGGATGGTGGGGACAGGCAGGGCAGGGGAATCTCAGCTGGTAGGGAGGTGGGGCTGTGGACTGGCCAGACCCTTGTAGAAACATGGCCACAGAAATATGGAGGGGATGGGGCTTTGTGGAGTAAATGCCAACTCCCTGTCTAGCTCATTCACACTCTCGAAGAGCAGCCAAGCTTCTCTCAGAGGGACCGTTGCCATGTGGCTTCACTGCTTTCCCTGGCTCTGCACAGCAAGCTTGAGTACTTGACTGACATCATGAGAACTCTGCTTGGTGACCTAGCAGCCCATTATGTACACAAGAACCCCAAACTCATGTTACGAAGGTTGGCCTTGACCTGGGTGTGGGGGCAGGGGCAGGGGCTCACCTCTGACCAATATATACTGAGTGAGATCTAGCCCTGAGATCTGGAGTCAGGAACTTGGGGAATGGGGCCACAGAGAATTGTAGGATTATCTTCACCAGGGCCCTGGGGCTTCCTTCACACAGGACAGAGACCATGGTAGAGAAGCTGCTTACCAACTGGCTGTCCATTTGTCTCTATGCCTTCTTAAAGGTGAGGGCACTTTCTAACATGCCTCCCTAGCACTTAGGAACTTCTGCCTGCTTGTGGTATCCATAACTGCTACCCAAATCCCCCAGGACCCCTGGCTGAGCTTAGGGTGGGCCATCAAACGAAGGTCATGAGTGGATCCATGAGAGGCCCAGGACAAGAGTGCTGGATAAGGGAAGGCATTGTGCTCCTTCTCCAGCTGACTGTTAAGCAGGGACAAAAAGGGTTTGAGGCCCAGCACAGGGGCCTGTGTTAGCTGACTGGCCTTTGCTCATCCTTGTTGTAGGCTGCTAACTGCCCCCTCCCAGTCCCACTATGCACTCTGCTGAGCTTTGTTGGGTCCACTAGCCCCGTGGTCAATGGCTGACACATCTTAATGGTTGTAGGAAGTAGCTGGTGAGCCACTGTACATGCTCTTCCGGGCCATCAAGTACCAGGTGGACAAGGGCCCTGTGGATGCTGTGACAGGCAAAGCAAAACGAACTCTGAATGATAGCCACCTGCTGCGAGAAGATGTGGAGTTCCGGCCCTTGACCTTGATGACACTAGTGGGACCTGGGACTTGTGGGGCAACAGAGAGCACTGAGGTGCAGCGAATGCCAGTCCGGGTGCTTGACACAGACACCATCACCCAAGTCAAGGAGAAGGTGTTAGATCAAGTCTACAAGGGAACTCCCTTCTCCCAGAGGCCTTCAGTGCACTCCCTAGACCTTGGTGAGAAAGCCAGCCTTACTCCCTGCTCAGCCCACTGGTCCTCCCACATCTACAGTTGCTAATGAGGAAATCAGAAAGCAGGCTGTGGGCTTATGGACTTCTCTGAGTCCCTCTAGAGTGGCGCTCAGGCCTAGCTGGTCACCTAACCCTGTCAGATGAGGACTTGACCTCCGTGACTCAAAACCACTGGAAGAGACTCAACACCCTGCAACACTACAAGGTGCTAGTGGGCAGCAATAGGACAAGGTGGATGGGCAGGGGCTGCCTCCAGAATTAACATGTGAAGGATGCCCCTTTGCTCTCATTACTCACCTGCAGGTCCCAGATGGAGCTACAGTGGTGCTCATTCCTCAACTGCACAATGGTGGCACTGTCTCCCAGAGACTGGGCCAGACTGGCTGCCCCTCTGGAGAGAGTGAGTCCCTTGGTTCAGACATGCCAGCAGTGGTGTGGTGGCGCAGAGTTAGATTCACTAGAACCCCAGGCTAGGCCAGCAGAAGTCCTGTCCATGCTATCTACCTCATCTGAGTTTCCCACCCCTCCTTGCCAGTGGGATAGCCACATCTCTAGGTTGAACCAAGGTGTGGTAATTCTTGATGTATGGGATGAGCAAGTTCCTGAGCCACCTTTCCCTTGTGTCCCACCTTCTCACTCTTCCCCAAGAGAAGTACAGGCTACATATCTTAGGTTGCATGTTGAGGGCAGGAGTATGGGACTGAGGCTAAGCTTCTGTGGTCTTAGACACCCCCATGCTGGAAGATGGTGAGGAGGGTGGATTTCGGTTTTGGCACCTGGTGAAGGCCACTGAGGAGCCAGAAGGGGCCAAAGTTCGTCGCAGTAGCCTCCGGGAGCGAGAACGAGAGCGGGCACGAGCCAAGGCTATTCCTGAAATTTATCTTACCCGTTTACTTTCAATGAAGGTTGGTGCTGCCAGGGGAGCCAGGAATGGAGCAGGGTTGTCAAGGAATTGTGAGTGAGTTGAGGAGGTGTGGTTCTGATGAAGCAGGGGTTAGCCCCCTTCACACCTTGCCTTCACATGATCTTCATGACCTGCCTGCAGGGAACCTTGCAGAAGTTTGTGGATGACACCTTCCAGGCCATTCTTAGTGTGAATCGGCCTGTGCCTATTGCTGTTAAGTACCTATTTGACTTCCTGGATGAGCTAGCAGAGAAACATGGCATAGAGGATCCAGAGACCCTGCACATTTGGAAGACAAACAGGTATCTTTCCTGTTGACCCCTCTCCTTCCCACTTTGTCTACTGAATTTCAGAGAAATATGTCCGAGATAGGAAGTAAGACTTTACAACATTATCCTGAGTTTCTGCCCTCACTCCCAAGCCTAGACTAATAATAGGAGGGTCCAAGCTCAGGTCACTTGGGCCATGAGGATAGCTCCCCATGAAAAATGAAGCCTGAGTTCCCTGCTGCCTAGGTCCCCAAATCCAGGACAGACATCTATGTGGAGGAGTGGGGAGATGAAGTACAAGGCGAGGAAGCCACAATGGCAGGCCAGGCCTCATCTCCATACCTGACCTGTACCTCCAGCCTACTTCTGCGATTCTGGGTGAATGCCTTGAAGAACCCACAGCTCATTTTTGATGTGCGGGTATCAGACAACGAGGATGCCATCTTGGCTGTCATTGCACAAACCTTCATCGACTCCTGTGTGATCTCGGAGCATAAAGTGGGCCGGGTGAGGGCATGAGCAGGGCACCAGAGGCAAACAGAAGAAAAGTTTGTGGGGAAACCCAGTGCAGAGCCCGGATGCTGAGAGGGATGGCATCATGGAGGTATAAGATGGTGGTGTAGGTGGTTCTCCTACCTCCCCGTTTACACCTCTCACTTCCTCTACCCGGAGCAGGATTCCCCCGTGAACAAACTGCTCTACGCCCGGGAGATCCCTTGCTACAAGCAGATGGTGGAGAAGTAGGTATCAGAGCCTTTGGGCCTGGGGATAAGGGATATAGGCTTTTAACCCTGCTGACTTTTCCAGGTATTATTCGGACATTCACCAGAGCTTTCCAGCGAGCTATCAGGAGATGAACTCGACTCTGGCTGAACTCTCTGGGGTGAGGCCTGGCCCAGGGGACCCAGTCCTCCACATTTAGGGGGAGAATAACTAGCAGAGTAAGAATGGAGAGCCTTGGGTCTTGAGATCTGGGATAAGAGACTCACTGTCTCCACATGCTACCTATAGAACTACACCTCTGCTCCCCACTGTCTGGAGGCTCTTCAAGACCTTTACAAACACATCCACAGGTATTATGACCAGGTGAGGCCATAGCACTCTTGAGGGGAGAGGGCAGGCACTTAGAGTAATTGTAGCTAAAACAATGACCCACAGAACCTCCCTGATGGGAGGATAGGGTTGAGGGGGGCCCAATCTAGATAAAGGGAATGAAGGAAGGGAGCCAACTTGTGTTGGAAGGGCCCAAACTAGGAAGTGGTCTTAATCACCAGGGCCAACCTGGGCAGGTCTCCAGAAGAGTTCCTACTCTCCACCCCATGCCCTTGTTGAGATGGAGAAAGGACTGGATGGCCCTGGGCTGATGGGCAGAGGAGTGGGATTTCAGGTAGGTACACTCTACTTCCCTGACAGATTATCAGTGCCCTGGAGGAGGACCCCGTGGCCCAGAAGATGCAGCTGGCTTGCCGCCTGCAGCAGATCGCTGCCCTGGTGGAGAACAAAGTGACTGATTTGTGAATGAGAGCCAGAGTGGTCACCTGAGACCTGCCAGATTGTAGAACAGTGAGCAGGACCCAAAGTGCTGTATGACCCTGACCAAGCAGTGACTGAGGAGGGGTCAGCAAGACCGTCTACCGACACCCACCTGGCTTGTTTTTAATTTATAATGATCCCTACCCTCTTTATCACTGTATTTATTTGCTTGCTGGAAAATCACATCTGGAAATAAAGTAGAAACACATCTTTTAAAAAAAAACAGTCCCAATCCACCATCCCTGCCTTTCCCTGCCAAGTGTGAGTTCTCAGTACTCCATAGGACTGAGGTGAGAAGCATGAGTGAGGGTTGAGGGGGAACCACGTGCATCCCCACCTTCTAGATCTAGGATGCCACTTTTCCCAGTACCACAGTTTACTCCCCAGACATACCCAGGCTCTACACAGGGCTTCTCTACAAGGCTTTCTTTCATTCACCTTTGCCCTTGATCCAATGGCTAAAATCTGCCATCCTTGGGGAAAGAAATATTAAGCCTTCCACACTTTGCCCTGTCCCTTCTTTCCTGACCTCTCAGGCCCTGCAGAGAGGCTGTCCTCTCCATCTATGCCAGCCCCACCCATACCAGTTCTTTCTTATCATGGGACACTAGGCAAAGTGTCTCCTACCTTGGGATAAGTACTGTCACTGCCAAGCCCCCTCCACTTCCTTCACAAGTTCCTGGCTGGCCTCCTGGTTCCACTTTTGCCCCCTTTATTCTCATCTAGACGCCATTAGAGTGGGTTCTCTCCCTTTTGCACTCTTTTTTTTTGTAATTTTAGTGTTATGTATATAGATGCTTTGCCTGTATATGTCTGTGCCTCCCTTGTATGCATGGTGTCCAGGAAGGCCAGAAGAGGGTGTCAGATCCTCTGAGAGCTGGAGTTACACACATGTTAGCTATCATGTGGATACTGGGAATTGAACTTGGACAATAGTAGCCAGTATTCTTTTTTTTTTTCTTTTTGGTTTTTCGAGACAGGGTTTCTCTGTATTGTTTTGGAGGCTATCCTGGAACTAGCTCTTGTAGACCAGGCTGGCCTCGAACTCACAGAGATCCACCTGCCTCTGCCTCCCCGAGTGCTGGGATTAAAGGCATGCGCCACCAACGCCTGGTTAGTAGCCAGTATTCTTAACCACTAAGCCATCTCTCCAATCCATTTTTGTTTTTAAAGATAAGGTCTCATGCATCCCAGGCTGGCCTTAAACTTGCTATGTGTCTAGGGATGACTTTGAATTTCTGATCCTCCCGAGTATTGAGATCACAGGCACATTCCACCACAACTGGTTTATGAAGGGATGGGGATCAATACATGTGGTTTAATACATACTGGGCACCACTCTACCAACTGAATAGATTCTTCCAAGTTCCAGAGTGAGGTTTCTAAAGAGCAAAAGTACTTGTCCACTTTGCTGGAACCCCCAGTGTCACCCATAGACTCCAGATGAGATTCTCAGTTGTTTCCGCAGATCCTAGCCTTGTGTAGCATGCCAGTATATGACAGTCTCCAGTATGCTCTGGGGACTTATTGCTCCCTGGTCTCTCAGGATACACAGGATCCCTCAGTTACCACCCAGTTTATGGTCAACAACTGTAGGGCTTCTGTTCTGGCCCACAGCAGGTACCTGCAAATGTTGGTGGAGACAGTCATCAAGGTAGAGGTGACCAGCTCCGGAGCTAGGTGTAGGAGACTATACAAGCCAATAGTGATCTCAAGGGCCTGTTGCTTCTGATGGGATGAATGAGCTGCCTTAAGCTCTTGACCTTGATTCCCCTTGCTCAGCCACATTTAGGGAAAATCTGGGCTCCCAGCTGTATGGGGAGGGGTCCTGTGAATTACAAAAAAAGCTGGAAGCCGGCCTCATAATAAGCAAAGAATGGGATTCAGATGGATTTGGAAGGGGTCACCTCCAGAAGGATACTCACATGGGTTAAGTGGGAAGTTCAAAAATACATCAAGTGACAGGCAGCATTTGGAGAGCGCTCAGCCTAAGGATCTGGTCACCATGTCAACTACATTCTTTCATAGGAGCCTCCTCTCCCCACAGTCCTAGGGTGTAGGAGCTCCAGACTGCTCCATCTCCACATAGATGTCTTCCTTGGTTGGTCTTGGACTGTGGCGAATCGATCTAGAGGCTGAGTCACTACTATAACCCCAGCTTGTGATCCCCTCTGTCTCTAGAGAGTGGGTGAAACAGAGGGGTTCAGCCTAGGGGCTGGGCTCTTCCGGGCTGCCATCATTGCACTGCCCCCTCCCTATGCTGCATACCTTGCCCACAGCTGAGCAGCTGGGAGGCTATTTATAAAGACGGGTGAGATCAGCGGCAGAGGCTATAAATGTACTGGCCACAGCTAGGCCCCACAGGAACAGTAGTCCAGTGCACCAGAGCCTTGGGCTGCGACACCAGGATGAGTGCCAGTGCTGGTGGTAGTGGTGGTGTGGACTGTGGTGGCAGTAGCACCAGGTATGACCAGGCTGGGGAGACTGAGGTCCCTTGCACCTTGTGAGCTCACTGCCTGCACCTTCCCTCTTCATCCACAGCTCTCAGACTTCCTGTGGACCCGAGTCCTCAGGCTCTGAATTAGCTCCAGCCACACCAGCACCTCGGTTGCTGCAGGGGTTCCTGGGCTCTGATGAGGAGGAACAGGAAGACCCCAAGGACTATTGCAGGGGTAAGGCCTGACCTTGGCTGCCTGTGGTCCACCAGATTGACACAGGGGTTCAGGACAGCCTGGGAGGAAGAAGGTGCCCAGAGACTAGGCCCCTCATGGAACAGATGATCAGAAGGACTGGGCTATCTTGAGGAATAACAGAAAGATGTCCTACTCTTATCTATTGACTCCCTTCTGCAGGTGGCTACTACCCAGTGAAGATAGGTGATTTGTTCAACGGACGGTACCATGTGGTGCGCAAGCTAGGCTGGGGCCACTTCTCTACAGTCTGGCTCTGCTGGGATATTCAGTGAGTAGCTGGGATCTGTCTGTGGGTTTGGTTGAGGCCACCACCATGACCATGTGAGTCTGGCAAAGACTGGCAGCCTATAAGGGTCTCCAAATTACAGGCGCAAGCGCTTCGTGGCCCTGAAAGTGGTGAAGAGTGCAGGACATTACACAGAGACAGCTGTGGATGAGATCAAGCTCCTGAAATGTGTGAGGCGCCTCCCCTACTGTTCCCAGCTTCTCAAACTGCTTTGGGCCTGGCAATGTGGGCGCAGGGCCTGCTGGGGCCCTGCAGAGTGGGGCGGGGCATCTCCAGCTGGTTCTGTCAAGTAAGAGGACCTGGAGGGCAGAGATCTGAAAAAGGCAGCTGCCTCTCTTTAACTGGGCCCCAGCTGGACTGGGAAAGGGGGCCAGAAGTGCTTAAGAGGAACCGAGCAGCTGGTGAGGAACAGGTTGGAGCCATCTGTGGCTCCTTGCCTTTTTGTTTCAGGTCCGGGACAGTGACCCTAGTGACCCCAAAAGAGAGACCATTGTTCAGCTCATTGATGACTTCAGGATCTCAGGAGTTAATGGAGTCCGTATCCTTCAAAGGATGCGCAATATGACAAAGGACCCTAGACTTCTGGTCTGCACCATGGGACTCAGCCCTTGCAGGGACATCCCATGAAGCAACCCCACAATGCCCTTTGAGCATTTGTGTTTCTGAGTAGGGTGTACACAGGGGGGACACTACTGAATGACCTCCAAATATGAAAGGCTGCTTTTGAGGCCTTTTGAACAATTGGGGAGACAGAAGAGTAAGGCTGGTCTGAGAGGCATCTCTAAGATGATAAAAGGTACCATCCCAACTGGCACTTCTTTGCTGGTGACAGAAACACTATAAATAAACTGAGACAGTGGTGGCCACCAAGATGGTCCAGGGAAAGTCCTGCTTTCCTAACCCTCTGCACCAACGGAGCCTAGGCAGTCCTCTGTGGTGGGCGGTAGGTAAGCCTGTGCATTAGCTGTGTTGCTGGCTGCCCTTCACTCCAAGTCCAGATGTGTGCATGGTGCTAGAGGTCTTGGGCCACCAGCTCCTCAAGTGGATCATCAAGTCCAACTACCAGGGCCTGCCTGTACCCTGTGTTAAGAGCATTGTTAGGCAGGTAGGTGCTGCTTCAGACTGCCCAGCTTGGCTGGGTGTGGCTGCTGGGGTTCAGCTATAGCTTTCACCAGGTGCTACATGGTTTGGATTACCTCCATACTAAGTGCAAGATCATCCATACGGACATCAAGCCTGAGAACATCCTACTGTGTGTTGGAGATGCCTACATCAGGCGCCTGGCTGCTGAAGCCACAGAGTGGCAGCAGTCAGGGGCCCAGCCCCCATCCCGCTCCACAGGTACCAAGAGCATATGTGGGGACTGACACCAGGACTCAGGCCACAATCTCTACCTGAATTACTATTCTTTTTCTCTCCCTAACCATACCCCCCCCAGTCAGCACTGCCCCGCAGGAGGTCTTGGTAAGTTGTGGCACCCCCTCTTTCCCTGTTTCCTTTTCCAATCCAAGCCAGAGCTTGGCTCCTCAGTCACACCTGTTCCACCTTTTGAACTTCTGCAGAGGCACCTCTAAAAAGCTGGGACATGAGAAAAGAATGATTACACAAGAGTGGGCTATGTGCTTCAAACTGCCTCTGGTGACTACTGGGCTCACTATCACTTCAACGGAAGGATACTGTGCCTTCCCCAAATGGCTACTTCAGGCCGCTTCATCTAAGCTAGGAGTGGACAAGGAGCAATTTAGGGCGGGCCCACTAGGTTCTCCCCAAATGACAAAGCTTTAGGGAGTAAGAAGATAGGAGAGGCAGAGAAATGGATGAGGGGCTGGGACTAAGGATGAGACAAAAGGTAGTAGTACCATTTTTCTGACACCCATAGGAGTTAGTTCTGGGGTCCAGGGCTAGGCAGGGAAACTAGGGAGGTGACCCTGTCTCTGGTGGCAGACTGGTAAGCTGTCCAAAAACAAGAGGAAGAAGATGAGGCGTAAAAGGAAGCAACAGAAGCGGTTGCTGGAGGAGCGGCTGCGGGACTTGCAGAGGCTGGAGGCCATGGAAGCCGCAGTACAGGCTGAGGGTGAGGGACCAGAGAGGGCACTGGGCTACTAAGCATGCACATGGAATGCAGGTCTCTGCTCATGTGCCCTTCTGCCTCTTCTCCCCAGACTCCGGCTCAAGATTAGAGCGGGGCAGCGGCTCCACCTCTTCTTCAGGCTGCCACCCAGAGGGCACCAGGGCTGGCCCCTCTC